GACCACTGGGATATGTTGAAAAGGATATAAGAATCTAGGAAGTGTGATCATTTTAATCAAGCTGACACGGCCCATAAGGGACAATGGAAGGGAGGCCCACCTGGTTATGTCTGATTTAAATTTGTCCAGCAGAGGCTGAAAATTTTTGGAGAAAAGGTCATTAAATGAGTTGGTAAAGAATACTCCCAAGCACTTAAATCCCCCTAACGCTATATTAAAGGGAAAGATAGAATGCGGAAGGGACTTTGCTGAAGAGTTAACAAAAAATAGCTCACTTTTTTGCGAATTCAATTTATAACCAGAGAGTTGACGAAACTGGTCCAAAATTTCCAATACTGGTGACAGGGATGAGGTGGGGTTAGAAATATAAAGAAGATCATCTGCGTAGAGGGAAAGTTTATGGACTACATTGTAACGTGTAAGCCCTCAAATCTTTCCTGGCTACGAAGCCAAATCGCTAAAGGCTCTATTGCCAAATTGAAAAGCAAGGGAGATAGCGGGCATCCCTGGCGTGTCCCATGGTACAAAGGACAAGGTGGTGACTGCATACTGTTAGTATAGATGGAAACGGTTGGGGCGGTGTATAAGAGACAGATCCAGCGTATAAAGTTAGAGTCAAAACCAAATTTGTCTAAAATGAAGAACAGATAACCCCATTCCACCCTATCAAAGGCTTTTTCGGCGTCAAGGGACACTACAATTTCAGGACAGTTAGAAGAAGGGAAATAAAGAATATTAAGTAATTTCCTGGTGTTAAAGAATGAATGTCTGCCCTGTATAAAACCTGTTTGGTCGGGAGCAATAAGGTCTGGCATAATCTGTTGAAGACGATGAGATAGAACTTTGGCCAGAATTTTAAAATCTACACTTAAGAGCGATATTGGTCTATAACTACTGCAAAGGGTAGGGTCTTTATCCTTTTTGAGTAACAAAGAAATAGTCGCTGCAGATAAGGTTAGTGGAAGTCTGTCTTTATCAAATGAGTCATTATATAAACTTGTCAAAATTGGGAGAAGCTGTGTAGAAAAAGCTTTGTAGAATTCCACTGTGAAACCATCAGGCCCAGGGGATTTTCCATTTTGGAGTGACCCTATTGCCTCTTGTACCTCCAGGGTGGAAATGGGCCTACCCATGTCCACGGCCAGAGCCTCATTAACTTTGGGGTAATTTAGTGTGTCAAGACAGCGGTGAAACTCTGAGGGGTTGAGAGGCCATTCTGACTTGTAGCGATTGGAATAACAATCAAAAAAGACTTCATTTCAGCTGGGTCTGAGGTTATATTACCCAAGGGTAATTTGATCTTAGAAATCAATCTGGAGGCGTAGTCCTCACGGGCCTGGTGGGCCAGCAACTTCCCTGCTTTATCTTCATGTTCGAGGGAACAGTTGTTTAGATTGTCACAGTTGTCTTACTATTTTGTGTGTCGTCAAGAGGTCATGTTCTGAGTACAATTGAAGGCGTTTCTTGTAAAGAGTGGGGGAAGGTGCGGAGGCATACACCGTGTCAAGTTTGAAAAGTTCGTCTGTTATCACTAAGGACCTAGCTCTCTCCACCCGTCTCACCTGAGAGGAATAGGAAATCATCTGCCCACGGATAAAAGCTTTAAAGGCCTCCCATAAAGTGTCACTACCAACCTCGGGGGTATTGTTAACTGCAAAATAGAAGCTAATCTGTGCGTCAAAAAAGTTCTTGAACTCATTATTGGATAACATATGAACTGAATCTCCATTGTTTGGCAAAGGATGGGGCAGAAGGAAAATTAATATCAACCGTTGTAGGGGCGTGGTCTGAAATGACAATGGTGTGATAATCACGTGTTAACATGATGAGTAGTCTGTTATCTAGCAGAAAAAAATCAGTCCTTGAGAAGGAGTGGTGTACATGAGAGAAAAAAGAGAAAACTTTGTCCCGCGGATTTTTAAATCTCCAAGGATCTGACAGACTTAACTGAGACTGATGATTTAACACAGCACTGGCCGATTTGGACAGGGTGGCCTGCTTAAGCGACAACCTATCAAGACTCGCATCCTGGACAAGGTTAAAGTCACCACCTATGATTATGTAGTGATTATCCACATTTGGAAGACTGAGAAAAACTTATTAAAAAATTCCTCATTATCCCAAGTGGGGGCATACAGACAGGCCAGGATCACTGGCACGTTATAAGTGAGTCCGTTAGAGTCTAGAAAGGAATTTGTTGGTTCAAACATGATGTTTTTATGAATGGCGATGGCAGCCCCCCTGGCCCTGAGAGAAAATTTCAAAAGAAATAAATGTCCCATCCAAGTCCTCTTAATACGAGAGATTTCTGTGGTTCGAAGGTGTGTTGCAAAAATATGATATCACCTCAAAGATGTTGTAACTGTGTTAGTACCTTACTGATTTTGATGAGATTAAAAATAAAAAAAAAAACCCAAGCATGTGAGGGATTAAAGGAAGAAGCATGAGATCTAACATTACTGTGTAACAGTATATACAGTATATCTGTGTTCCACTGTGATCGTAAAAAAAAAACCTCCAATTAATACATCCCAAAAAGCTTGGAAGTTGTCCCAATTCCCAATACGATCATGCTGGAGTAATCTTGCAGTGGGGGAAAGAAGAAAGGGGGGTGGGGGGGGCACACACACACAAATAAAAGTAAAATAAAAGAACAAGCTTTGACGATTAACAGTGAAACAGTCACAGTACTCAAGCAGTTCTCTCACCCCCAAAACCACAAGCCGCAACACAGAGGTGCAAGCCAAACAGTAAAACAGTCTTAAGAAAAAACACCTGAATAGAAAAATCCAGAGCCATCAAGCGCTGACACCAACATATAGTTCAGGGCTGTGATGCAGTCAACTTTCAAAAGGGAATCTTTCGTACTAGCATTGTGGGGCAACAACGCTAAGGTGTGGGCCGAATCAGTGAAACAGTCACAACTGCCACTTATACCAAGAGTC